CTTACATTCACTACAGCTCTGAATCCTCACCAGTTTCACAAATATCTTACATTCACTACAGTTCTGAATCCTCACCAGTTTCACAAATATCTTACATTCACTACAGTTCTGAATCCTCACCAGTTTCACAATATCTTACATTCACTACAGTTCTGAATCCTCACCAGTTTCACAAATATCTTACATTCACTACAGTTCTGAATCCTCACCAGTTTCACAAATATCTTACATTCACTACAGTTCTGAATCCTCACCAGTTTCACAATATTTTACAAAACTTCGTGGCCTATATAAAAACAGCAACTCTGTTGGAGATCTGGGTTTATCTCTTTCATTGAGTTTCAGATCTTGGTACTTGACCGAAAAGAGACTATTGGTCGGTTTTGGACCACTTATGCATGAATATATATATATTTTGTAAACCAACAGAACTACACGATTTTCATTACCCAGTTGTGGTTAAACGACGGTACTTGAACTTTATAATAAAGTTTTGTTTCCTTCTTACATTCGCAGGATTCTATTTGGAATAATTTACTTAACATATTCCTTCCATCAAGAAGCACATAGCTTCATAAAGTAACCATAATTTCATGAAATACGATCAGGGAATATTGAAAATAATGTGAACTTGTCTAAGATACGTAAATTTGTTAGTTTCAAGTTGCCTTCTCTCATAACACTTTTTGCTCATGAATAACTTCATCTTTTCCACAGGCTAGAGTCACACACTGTCACCTAGGAGGAGGGAGTGGTGGAAGTTTTTCCATTGCCTTACTCACGTTATGTTGCTGTTTCTAAGTGTTAAAGACTCTCTGAAAGTTATCGTTGTTGTTTCTAAGTGTTAAAGACTCTCTGAAAGTTATCGTTGTTGTTTCTAAGTGCTAAAGACTCTCTGAAAGTTATCGTTGTTGTTTCTAAGTGCTAAAGACTCTCTGAAAGTTATCGTTGTTGTTTCTAAGTGTTAAAGACTCTCTGAAAATTATCGTTGTTTTTTAGTTGTTGTTTCTAAGTGTTAAAGACTCTCTGAAAGTTATCGTTGTTTTTAGTTGTTGTTTCTAAGTGTTAAAGACTCTCTGAAAGTTATCGTTGTTTTTAGTTGTTGTTTCTAAGTGTTAAAGACTCTCTGAAAGTTATCGTTGTTTTTAGTTGTTGTTTCTAAGTGTTAAAGACTCTCTGAAAGTTATCGTTGTTTAGTTGTTGTTTCTAAGTGTTAAAGACTCTCTGAAAGTTATCGTTGTCTTTAGTTGTTGTTTCTAAGTGTTAAAGACTCTCTGAAAGTTATCGTTGTTTTTAGTTGTTGTTTCTAAGTGTTAAAGACTCTCTGAAAGTTGTCGTTGTCTTTAGTTGTTGTTTCTAAGTGTTAAAGACTCTCTAAAAGTGATCGTTGTTTTTTAGAGCTCGACTGAGAATTAAAAGATGGAAACTTTGGAATCAGGTGATTTCAACTATGGAGTTAGGTCATTTCATCTATAGAGTCAGGTCATTTCAACTATGGAGTCAGGTCACTTCTAATGTTGTGGAGAACGACCACAGCTCTGATCCAGCTGGCCGCATGTGACTGAGGTCAGGTGAACCTCCACCACCCAGGTCTACTTCCATCTGTAAACGAGCTGGGACGACCCTTCTAAAAACAGGGCGAGCTGCTCACCGAGTCTAGACCGTCTGACGCTAGTGTGGTATCACTATAGAAGAGGGCGCAAGAAGCGGCACGAAAATGCGTGTTCTTTATTGGTTGCCGTAGCTTCTGGCGTACTGGAGTTTTTTGTTTTTTTTTTCACAGCAGCTTATGAATGTGCGTCGAAAGAAATAAGGCAGCATTTAGTGATTGAGCGTTGTAACGATCGGAGCAAAACGAAGAGAAAATCCGCACGAAGGAGAGAGAGAGAGAAGAAAAAACTGTACTACATGACTAACGTGAGTATATGACAGTCGCAGTGTTCTGGATATTTTACAGAAACGATAGCGGAGATGTAAGCAGAGTGCAGAAGAAACAATATTTCCTCAGACAGGACATGGGACGGCTCAACTCCACAAGTAACATTTTACGCCTGTTGTTGGCCACCGTAATTCTGGCCTGCGTGGCTAGAGGAGATCAGCGAACCCGGCACGAGCCTCCGGGTCGTTTACGTCCTAAGCCATCTCAAGATCTTCCCATCATAGGACTGATAGAATCGACTGACAAGAAGTACGATCCTCTACCAGAAGATCTCAACTACCTTAAACTCAGGAACCTGATGGGTAAGAACTTCGATCCGGAGTGCATGAGTCACTATCGACCGATCGAAAGCATAAAGCATCCAAATGGCACACTTGAACACATTACTTTCAAAGGCAATAATCGTGGTCGTCTTCGACGTCGACGTCGGATGCCGTCAAAAATCAAGGACTTGAAGCTCCACTCTCTCACGCTACCGGACGGCACGAAACTACGGCTAAAGTTCGGCAAAAAGATACGCCGCAAGTTCAAGAAGATGTTATGGGTGTTCACCTACTGTCCGGTGGTTCGCACGTGGAGGAACCTCGGGATTCGGTTCTGGCCACAATGGATTCGTGAAGGAATGTGTTACCAAAAGAGTTCGTGCTCTTTCCCGCCAGGAATGAGTTGCAAACCACGAAATTCGGTGAAGAAAACTCTTCTACGGTGGCACTGCCAGAACTGGGAGAAGCGACACGTGTGCAGGTGGATACCGGTGATATACCCTGTCATCACGGAATGCCAGTGCAGCTGTTAATGTCATCTGACTGCTTAGCGTGAGTACCCACACCTTGTGATTTCGATTTGTTTTTGAAGAAAAGGGAAGAGACAATATAATGAGTTTTAATGACATTTACTTTCCTCTCTTCTTCCGTTTTTGTCTATAATATAGTGGTATATTTGGATAATAAAAAAATTCTAAAATCATATTGATAAAGTTTTTAATGTAGCATGCATGTAGGCAAGAGGGAGGGGGTTGCGATCACACTCCCTAAATCGCACCCCGTGTATATGTACGTAATATATAAACAAAATAATTAAAAGGTGTAAAAGCATCAGATACTGTGCTATTTAAACTTCCCAAATCTTCTGTATTACTTCGCCACTCACTTCCCTTTTTCCTCCAAAAGTAGTGCCTCATTATAGATTTTTTCCCTACGCTCCCACAGCTGATTTTTTGTTTAGATAGTGGATTGGATAAAGTTAAATTTTTCTTCACTAAAGTGGTATAGATAAAGCTAAATAAAAATAACTGATTTTGAACGTAAGCACACACACAGTCTGTGTATCAGTTTATGACATAACAAGTAAGTACTTGAGCGGATTAATATGAATTTCTCGTTCTTCGGGTCAAACATCTTTAAAGAAACATTTCACCGTGTCATTTAATTACTTTATATATAACAAACATAAAAGATATTCCGAATATATCACATTAATATGTACTTTATCATTAACGTATGTAATTGGCCACAAGTGGATTGACCTCGGGGGGGGGGGGGGGGTGAATTAACAATGTATATGATCTAGTGTTCATTTGTAATTTTATGAATTTGGACTTTTGTGTTGTATCAGTACGCCTCATTCTTGACTTAATGGAACATTCTCCAGTGAGTCCTAGCCTTACACACACACACCTTTCTCTCTCAAGAGTTGACACACCGGTCAACCTCTGCACAGGGACGCCGTTTTGTTAGCCTCTCCCTCCCGATGTATTTACAGTCTCTTGTCATTACAGTCTGCACTGTTACATTTGATCATGCTCCATTTGGCCACCGTAAATCTAGACAATATCCTTGCAAAGTAAGGCCGTCATTTCCAAAGCACACCATTCCCCCCTGGAATCTTTTCATCGTCCATCTAGTCACGAATATGATATTTTTCTACTTCCGTTTCGACAATTCCATCGAACTGAGATCCACAGCGCTACGTCCGGAACTTAACAGTATGTCTTCATATGGACTAGCACGAATGCGTGTTTTATTTTTCATTTGCTTAAGGCCAAAAGGGAGGTATGACTGGAAGCTTTATCTTGATGAACCCATACTCGATTCCCGACAGAGATCCTTCTTGAATGTGTTAAATTCTATTGCCTGAGATACGGGCACAGCTTTTGTTACCAACCTTTGTGTTTGTCGATTCTCACCCGTTACATGACGCCGTGCTTTCCATAGCTAATGTACGACTTGTTACAGGTCTCTTTCTGGACGGTCCTAGAGCCCTAAGCTGGTTCATATTCTTTTGCTTTTCAAATCCATTAAGTACAATGGATATCCCATGTGTTTGAAATTCTTAAACCCAGACCTGAACACTTCTTTATGATCTGAGTGTATAAATATTGTGCATTAGAAAGGCACAATACTCTCCCTGGCCAAAAGCGATCAATTTTCGATGACGTTACACCATCTACTAAAAACCTAACAATGTCAAAATACTGTTCTGAAACATGGCGATCCACCACAACGAAATATCGGCTGGGACGTCACATGACTTGCATGCCCAAAATCGTTTTTAAAATAAGGTATGCAACCCTCAGTATATATATATAGCTTATGTTACTTGAAAGGTTATTAAATAATATAGGAACTAAGAGGAAGAAATACTTGAAAGGTAGATTGATTTTTACATTTTAACTCGACCTTATATATATTTTTCACGCAGTTTGAAATGGTCTTAGACACATACAAAAATATGATTTCAGTTATTCGAATAACAAACTAGCAGAGAAACTTAGCAGTCCAGGAATTATCTTTGTATCACACTCAACACTGTGTGAAAGAAAAATGAAAACCGATTTTTTTTTGGTTCATTGAGCACAAGTGTCTATAATAAGCCATCTGCCTTATTCACACCGCAAGCACCGAACTTCAAATTTTAGCGTTATAAGTTCTCAAACTCACTGTTACTTTGCCACCAACTAATTTAAATGTGTGTTTGTGTTGTTGTTTACTTGAATCCTACATAAAAGCTTAAATATTCTTTACAGTTTAATATTTGTTGCTTTATTATTTTACTTATTTATTATTAATTAGTGATTTTTAAGTGTTCCGTTAGATGGGGTTATATCTGTTGTAAAATTTCATTAAAAAAAAATTTCTTGTGTTTTGCCACTTTATTGTTAAACATACCAAAGTAGTTTGGACTTATATTTTATCATGGTTTAAGACTTTGATTAATTTTTAGTAGTCTATAACAATCGTTGTTTTAAAAGTTTTTTCACTTTATATACTTATTAATTTTGTCAATAATTTTTCACATAATTATTCATCAAAAGGTACACAGGAATATATAGTTAACCAGGATTAACGAAATAAAGACGTTCTTTACAGCTGTTCGTTTTGTGGGTGGAACATCTGCAGTAATCAGTTAGATGACAGGACGATTATGTGGAATCTATTTTCTTTATTTGTTTTTTTTTTCTCAACGTAATGTCTTTTTTTTTACATTTCCAAAGCACTTCCAGTTAATTCAATTGTACTTTTTTAAGTATCTGCAGATATTTCTGTGACAGTTTTATTGGTGCACAATACAAACCTACGGTATAAATTTTGAAACCACCCCTTATTTACCTCCTCCTACATGGGGTTAAGCGTACTCAAGAGTCAGTTGGAGGAAGTGACAGGGAACAAGGGCCAGTGGCACGCGCACGCCCTGTGAGGTGTGAGGTGAATGGAGTTCTGGCGCCACTTCAGGTGGGTAGGCGGCTGGCCTAGAGCAAGGGTGAGCAGGTTTGTATCAATCTGTGATCAAAACTAGCGTTAACTATTTCTTTATACGGTGTGAACACTAGAGAATCCATGGTAAGCGTAATTCTTTCCTTTGTGCTCCTGCAGATCTGAGAGGACCGAGTGATACAACCACTGTTGTTTGCGTCGCCACTGCCGACTAACCTTATACTGTGGAGGCGTCTACTTCAGCTCTCCGGCGCCAGATCCTGCCTAATTTTGGTCCCACTAGTGGGTTGCGTGGGCTCGCGCGTCTGTGATGCCCATTCCTTATAGATAAGTATGTACAAATACCTGTGTGGTGTGACCTGGTTGGGCACGCGGAGTTATTTATCTTTTAGTATTATTTATATTAGTATGTATATGTATACACATGCACCTAAATACGCGCATGCGTATAAATATAGATAGATTATAGGCCATACGTATGTACTTCATATTTCTTGTGGATCCCATACCTTAGTAAGGAAAGGCAAACCACCGCTAGGGTTCTACATTTCGCCGTGTTTGTGTTGTTAGAAGTTTCAGTGTGTGTGTGTGTATATATATATACACATAAATACATGACTGTCCATCAGTATAAAATGTTTTTTGTTCCGTCAATGTTGTGTACAAAGTTTTGTTTCTTGATAAGTTAGGTTGTAGTAATCCTAAAGTATAATAAATCTGTTGTACATTGTAAACAGTCATAAACTCAATATGTACGGATAGATAGATTGGTGTATCTGTCAATTAAGAAAAGGCGACTACACCGACCCAGTGAGCCTTGCTGTTGAATAAAACCTGGCTGTTTCTGATAAACAATTGTTCCAAAACACGTGTCTTGTAAATTGACTATTGTAAGTTCCTCTCTCGACTTAAACCGAGACAACGACGCAGCTTTTTTACCTTCATTAGAACATCATTTATAAGCGCATTAGACTGACTAGAACATCGTATACACAAGGCTTAGGTTGACGACAGAGGTTTAATAGAACATCGTTACTCCAAACTATTTAGATTGACGGCAATATCATTGCTCCAGACGGTTTAGATTCACGGCAACATCGTAGCTCCAGACGGTTTAGATTGACGGCAACATCGTAGCTCCAGACGGTTTAGATTCACGGCAACATCGTAGCTCCAGACGGTTTAGATTCACGGCAACATCGTAACTCCAGACGGTTTAGATTGACGACAACATCGTAGCTCCAGACGGTTTAGATTGACGGCAACATCGTAGCTCCAGACTTCCACAGTGATGCTTGTAGCGTCTAATGTCTAGTATAGTATTCCATAGTGAAGTTTCTAGCGTTTAATGTCTAGTATGGTATTCCACAGTGATGCTTCTAGCGTCTAATGTCTAGTATAGTATTCCACAGTGATGCTTCTAGCGTCTAATGTCTAGTATAATATTCCATAGTGAAGTTTCTAGCGTCTAATGTCTAGTATGGTATTCCACAGTGATGCTTCTAGCGTCTTATGTCTAGTATAATATTCAGTGATGCTTCTAGCGTCTAATGTCTAGTATAATATTCCATAGTGAAGTTTCTAGCGTCTAGAATATAGTTCGGTGTGGAGTTCGACAGTATTTTCTTTCATTATACAGTGTATAAAATCCATTGTGTGACACAATCTGCTTCTTTGTATACCTTATTAAATATCCAGTATTTGTCGTTTTTAAACTAGGTAATGAGCTCTTACTTCATGTGCGTAAGTGATTTTTATTCAGAGATGAAAAACCACCGTTCGTTTAAGCAGGCCCTTAGTTTCCCGTGGTAAATATTCCCTTCGTTTCACATATTTAAGAAGTGATGTAGGGATGCGATCGTCAATCTTGTTAGGTGAAGAATGTTGGTGTCAACATCAGCTCTAATACAGACGTTGCATTATGTCAAGAACACTGTTTCATATATATATATATTAGCTTAATAATGTTGTCAGTGTGCATTACAAGAGGATCGACGTTGTCATCGTCACTCTAAGCCGTCTGGAGCAACGTTGTCGTCGTCACTCTAAGCCGTCTGGAGCTAAGATGTTGCCGTGAATCTAAACCGTCTGGAGCTACGATGTTGCCGTCAATCTAAACCTACTATACTAGACATTAGACGCTAGAAGCATCACTGTGGAATACTATATTTAGACACTAGACGCTAGAAACTTCACTATGGAATACTATACTAGACATTAGACGCTAGAAGCATCACTGTGGAATACTATACTAGACATTAGACGCTAGAAGCATCACTGTGGAATACCATATTAGACATTAGACGCTAGAAGCATCACTGAATACCATACTAGACATTAGACGCTAGAAGCATCACTGTGGAATACCATACTAGACATTAGACGCTAGAAGCATCACTGAATACTATACTAGACATTAGACGCTAGAAGCATCACTGTGGAATACCATACTAGACATTAGACGCTAGAAGCATCACTGAATACTATACTAGACATTAGACGCTAGAAGCATCATTGTGGAATACCATACTAGACATTAGACGCTAGAAGCATCACTGTGGAATATTATACTAGACATTAGACGCTAGAAGCATCACTGTGGAATATTATACTAGACATTAGACGCTAGAAGCATCACTGTGGAATACCATACTAGACATTAGACGCTAGAAGCATCACTGAATACTATACTAGACATTAGACGCTAGAAGCATCACTGTGGAATACTATACTAGACAGTAGACGCTACAAGCATCACTGAATACTATACTAGACATTAGACGCTACAAGCATCACTGTGGAATACTATACTAGACATTAGACGCTAGAAGAATCACTGTGGAATACTATACTAGACATTAGACGCTAGAAGAATCACTGAATACTATATTAGACATTAGACGCTAGAAGCATCACTGTGGAATACTATACTAGACATTAGACGCTAGAAGCATCACTGTGGAATACTATACTAGACATTAGACGCTAGAAGCATCACTGAA